TCTGAAGAAGGGTCTAGGCCCGAAACGTCAGCCTTCCTGCTCCTCTGATGCTGCTTGGCCTGCTGTGTTCATCCAGTTCTACACCTTATTATCTCAGATTCTCCAGCATCTGCAGTTCCTACTATCTCTGGTCTCACATGCCTGCGTTTGGCCCATATCTCTTCAAACATTTCTTATTCATGTACTTATCTAAATTTCTTTTAGACATTGTAACTTTACCCACATCCACCACTTCCTCTGGAAGTTCACTATACACACAAACCACTCCCTGTGTAAAATAATTGCCTCTCGTGTCTTTTAAAATCTTTCTCCTCTCACCTAAAAATATAACCTCTAGTCTTGAAATCCTTCACCCTAGGGAAAAGACACCTGCCATTTACTTTATCTATACCCCTTATAAACTTCTATAAGGTCATTCCTCAACATCCTATGCTCTACAGAAAAAAGTCCAGGCCTATCCAGCCTCTGCTTATAACTCAAACCATCCATTCCTGGCAAAACCTGGTAAATCTCTTCTGAACCCTCTCCAGCTTAATAATATCCTTCTTATAACAGGGTGATCCAGAACTGGGCACGGTACTCCAGAAGAGTACTTCTTAGTATCTTAAGAGACATCTTAGTGGCAGTCATAGGGGCTTGAGGAAATTATAGCGGCAAGGAGGGGTGTAGCCATGGAAGGATTGAAAGGAGAATGAAAACTTTAAAATCAAGATGATGCTTGACAAAAAGCCAATGTAAGTCAGCAAGTGACAGCGGAATGAGACCTGGTTCTGGGTGATCTCAATTTTTCGGAGGAAAGTGGGGCCAGCTAGGAGTGCATTGAAGTAGTTGAATTTAGATGTAATGAAGGTACGATTGAAAGTTTCAGCAGATCAAAAGTGGTCATGAAGGAGGGATGGTTTACTATTGTCACAGTCATGCCATGTCATTTGTGACATTGACAAAAATGGTTTCAAAAAGAATTAAATCAAACAATACGAGGGATGCAGCCAGACTAGAGCAAAATAAAATAGTCTGCTTGGATGAGTAAAGATATATACCTCCACGTGAAGAATCTGCTTATAATGTAATGATGTACTGATAAGATTGGAAGTTGAATAATAAACTGTGTCTGTGTATAGCTGTATATACAAAGATGTCTTTCTGTAATCATAGTGTTCTACTCTAACCTGCCTAAGACAGACTCTCCCTGTGTTCGGCATTGACACCATCCAGGATAAAGCAGCCCACTTGATTGGCACTACATCCACAAGCATCCCATTCCTTCCACCACCGATGCTCAGTAGCAGCAGTGTGCACTACCTACAAGATGCACTGCAGAAAATCACCAAAGATCCTCAGACAGCACCTTCCAAACCGACAACCACTTCCATCTAGAAGGACGAGGGCATCAGACATATGGGAACACACCAGCTCCAAGTTCCCCTCCAAGTCACCCACCATCCTGACTTGGAAATATACTGCTGTTCCTTCACTGTCGCTGGGTCAAAATCCTGGAATTCCCTCCCTAATAGCATTGTGGGTCAACCCACAGCAGGAGGACTGCAGCTGCTCACCACCACCTTCCCAAGGGCAACTAGGGATGGGCAAGAAATGCTGGCCAGCCAGCAACGCCCCCATCCCACAAATGAATAGGAAAAAAAGCCCTGTAAAAACGATTATAAATAAGTATTCTATGATCGATCCTCAGAAGCATCATGACAGGTACTGTTATATAGGCAGAAACATGATTCAACATGGAGTTGTGGGAAAAATGGGCCTAGATTTGATTGAAGACCATACTTTCCAAGGACTTTGGAGAAGAAAGGAAAATGAGAGAAGAGGTTTGGTAGTTTACAAGGACAATGGGCGTCAATGTTTTATTTTGAACAGAAGAATGATAATGGCAGTTTTGAAGGAGAGAGGGAAAACACTTGAAGGGTTAGAACTGTTAACAATATTAACTAACATGAGGAATAGGACAGGAAGTTGGGTGGCTATCAGTTTAATGAGAAAACGGTCATGGAGGCAGGATTGGAATGTCATAGCCAAAATTTGTCTACAGCAGGCATGAAGAGATTATTTTGATTTATTATTGTCACATGTACTGAGATACAGCGAAAAGTACTGTTTTGCGTGCTAACAAGACGAATCATGCCTTATGTAAGTACATCAGAGTAATAGAAAAGAATGCAGAGTATACCGGTACAGCTATAGAGAAGGTACAGAGAAAGATCAACTCTAATATATGAGAGGACCATTATTAAGTCTGACAACAGTGGGGAAGAAGTTGTTCTTGAATCTGTTGGTAAATGAACCAAAACTAGAGAAAAATGAGTTGTAGGGCAACTGAGGCCTTTAGACTAAGTTTGGCTTGGTGCGTTAATGGAAGGAAAGGAAGTGACAGAGGCAACAGATTAGGTTGTCTCAATTTTAATGCTGAAGTATTATTTGAGCTCCTCATTTTTATTATTGGAGGTGAGGGTGGATGAGACAGGCAATGGACCTTAATAAGATAATTTGCAGTAAATTAAAGAAGGGTTATCTTTGCATTTCAGGATGATGAGGAATAGTGAGCATTTTTAGAAGACGAAAGTAGCAGTCAACAATACTAGATCAATAGCAGAATTGTGATCTGAAATTCTAATCGACAATACTGGGGAAATATTTGCATAAATCAGACTGCTACTTTAAGTGTATATTATGGTATTTTTGAAGTAATAGTGATAACATTGTTCCTTCCGTTCCAGAAAGGATTCGAGCAAATATTTCACAGCATAGTTATTTCCGTTCTAACTAACATTCCATTTTGAAGTACAAAGGAAGACATAACCCTAACCACAGGTTTCTATTTAAGATGTTACAATCCCTGCAGAGGCTTGTAGCCTTTAAAAACAAATTTGAACTTTGAGTTAATAGCTGAAAGAATGGCATGCGACGATTTCATGTTTTAAAGTGTTTACTGCAACATACATCTGAAAAAAACTATTATTTAAATACCATTGTTGTTGGCAATTTGTACTTTAAACCACAGTGTAGAATACCCAAATTCTTATTAGCCTAATTGAAAAAGAAACTTCACATTGTTCTTTGTGTAGGCATTCAATTCTCTTCAACTCAATCCAAAGTGGCACTTAATTCCTGACTGTTTATTCTTGCTTTTCCCTCCTCAGCCCAGTAACTTGCATACTTAGAATTGTATGAGGTTTTCTTGTACCCAAACTTGCTGTTAAACCAAGCTAGACAACTTTTTCATTTGAACTCGCCAGGAATTTGCTGTTTCAATCTGAGTATGAGCAACTACTGCATTCCTGCATTGCAAACCACAACCTTTTAATATCTGTCTACTCCCTCTCTCCTGGATCTAGGCAGATTCTAAACGGGTGACAGTCAGTGGTATTCTAAGGAAGCACATAACCTGACCTTTACAATGGCTCCCTCTGCTTCCTTCGCATGACAACATGAATCACATTGGTCTTGTATCTAGGCACAAATGCTAATTAGCTATCATTGAGATGTCAACTCTTTCATTTTGGAACTTAATGGACAGATTATTACACAGCTGCTTACGACCTGAAATTTTTCAAACCATTTCTAGGATCTCGGAGACTCAGTGTCCACTGTTAACACAACGGCTGTGCCATTGTCTCTCAGCAGAAATACCTTGCACCTTTGTCCCAGCAAAATAATCTATACCTGTCTTTGACCTCTAAAACCGAAACCACTCAAATTTACTGTCAGACATCAGGACAGGACACTTGGCCCTCTTTGTTTCACTTTAAATTTAAAGAAATGGACCCAAAACCTAGGGCAGTAATCACAAAGTACAAACTGCCCTCCTTTACAAAGGCAAAATTTCATGTACTAGTATGCCTTGAGTTTTGGCATAAAGTTCAAAATTGCACACACAGACTTTTTAGCAGTAAATTACATTGGTTAAAAACTCAATAGGAATGAGAGACAAAAATAGAAATTGCTGGAAAAGCTGAGCAGGCCTAGTGGCATCTGTGCAGAAAAATCAGAGTGAATGTTTCGGATCCAGTGACCCTTCCTCAAAACTTGACACGAAACGTTAACTCTAATTTCTCTCTACAGATGCTGCCAGACCTGCTGAGCTTTTTCAGCAATTTCTACCTTTGCCTCTGATATACAGCATCCGCAGTTGTGTTGGTTTTTAATAGGAATGAGAGTTTTGTCTTATGGCTTTCTTCTCAATATGAGGCATACTGAACCCAAGTGTTAAATTTCAACAACCACCGTGTATAGATCAGGGATCACATATAGGAATTATTTAATCAATAAGAATCAGTACCATCCAATATGATATTTTAACAAATAAACCAATGAAGGAATCTCAGGCTGTTATTCTGTGACATGCAAAGGCATAACTTTTCATTTTAAAAAATCAGATACTTTATCTTGTCTTTTTTTTGGAATAATGCAAAGTAGTATTGTTGGGTGCCACAGAATGCAGAATAAAAGCTGACTATGAACATAATGCACCAATGGAATAGCTAATATATTGTTCATAATATGCAACAAACTCAGAAAACAGTACCACATCAGCTACCACTCAATTCTAGATTGAATTTCAAGGAGTGGAAACAAATGTGTTTCAAAGTATAATGCCAAATCATCTGATATTCTGTTGACAGACATGACTTAAACTGAAATGGAGACTGATGTAGCATTAAAAATTAATATCACTGCATCAATAAGTACTCATCAACAAATCCTTGACTAGACTTGACCAGACATCTCACCTCTTGACTGACTGCCTTCCTTACACTCTCTGTTTCACTTTGCTGTGCAATTGCAAGCTCTTCCTCCAGCTGTAGCTTTTCACGGCTCCAATGTTCTCTGTGAAAATACCAAGGGTACTTATGTTCGTATGCTGCAAAGCTATAAATGGCTTATTGTCCCAAACTTAATGTAGGCAACTCAGATGCTGCACTTGTCAAAGGCTTGTCACAGATCTAACAGATTGTAGTGCAACAATTCCTCTATCTTGTTGTCAATCGTCATTTGTTCATTGTACAATCCAAAGGTCAGTCAAGTAAGGAGTTAGATTGAAGTTTCATCCGTATCAGTAACTTAATTTACATATATTTAGCAGATACAAAGCTGTATGGACTCTACTGAAGACATCAGTGTAAAATTACACATTTTAGAATGGATCATCCTTCTTAAGTACTTTTTAAAAAGAAATTAATGATTGAGTAATCACACAATCTATTTCTATATCTATACATTGTGTGGCAACATCTTCATCAATAACCTTAGGAAAGCCAGAAGGTCAGAGATTGAAGAGGAGCTTAAAAGATTTGAGTTTTGTGCTATCATAATTTGGCATGGGTTTGAAATGAAACAGTAAACTGATTAGGTGGCAGGAAAATTGGGAGAACTTTCAAAAAATTCTGTGACAGACTGTCTAAATTGTGTCCCTGGCTGTATATCAGGACGTTGTAGTAAAAGAAAACTGACCATTTTTCACACAGACATATAATACGTATCATTTGTTACCAAAGGTCACAAAACCTAGCCTATACTGCAATAATAACAGTATGTTTGTGGTATTACTCCAATGTGTATACTATACAAATTACTAAAATACAGAAACCTTCTTAGTTAAGAGTTTTCTCATCTGCCATGTTGGATCTCCCTCTCTAGTTACTCTAATAATGTTACTTCTGGAAAAAAAAATCAGGAAGTTCAATTCATTTTAATAGAGTCTGAAATTTCAGATTAGTCTGGAAACCTGAAAAAGTGCTGACAAGTTCTGGCAGAACAAGCTACTGTTTGAGCATACTGCACACATAACTGGCAGCATATAGCTGGCTGCACATGAAATTTTAAATAAATTTGAGTGGAGAATGGGAAAACACAACAATCATTCTCTATCTTTTTAAAGATTTACAGCAGTTCATTCACATTTTTTTTAACTTTTTAGTTGTATTTGTCTCTTGTCAGAAATATCTAGTGAAATCTGTAGCTTTGAAACTGCACAAGTGATATTGCATGACAGTGTTATTTCATGTCAATACCACCAGCTTGTATATATAAAGTTTATATTGTGTACAAAATGTTTATGAACACCTTTAGCTTAGTAAAATATTGTAAAGCATTTCAATAGTGATGTTATCAAGAAAAAACCTAACAAAACTCACCTAGGGAGGTACTGCAACAAAGTCCAAAGCTTAAGCAAAAAGATAGGTCTTAACAAACATCTTAGGAGGAAACAGAAAGAGGGGCTCAGGAAGGGTTTTGCAGAGTTTGGGATCTTGTTAGCTAATGGTATGATGCCAATGGTGAGCAAGGCAAAAGTCTTCTAGTGACAATTAGAAATGCATTAGCATTGCTGATGAAATATTCTGTTTGTTGTTTAGGATTGTTAGTCCAGAACTAGGATGAGTCACCTTTTGATTTGTCAGCTGTATACAGCCCATTTATGGCAAAAGTGCAACTCTCTGAATCCTTTGTTTAGGAGCCTTGCCTGCGTGCACAATTTCAAAATAAAAAATTAAGAATAACAAGGAGCAACAATGGGATTAGATTAATTAGTTGGTTGTTTTTGATTGGCACAAACTTGATGGGCTGAAGGGCTTTTTTCTGTGCTGTGGATATCTACGACTCTATAACCATCAAAAAACAGGTAGTCTGTCATCCAATTGTGATTCCACTTGCTCTAAATGCTTTCGCTTTATTGCAATTTTACTGCAGGGTGCACAAAAGAAGTTACTGGCTTTATTGGCTACGTTGCAACACTAATGAAGACAGGGACCTTAAGTTTGGGTTTCTCTTTTTTGTAAAGTGAAGGCTTCATTCTTTGTATAATTGTCAATTTTGGGGGAAATGAATTCTGTTTGCTCCTTAATAAACCTTCCACCATTCCTTCATCGAACCCAGCTTACGAAATTTTCATATCTGGATTTTGTACTTGAAAAGTCTGATGAGCCTAGTCAGGAGTATAGATTTACTTTGGATTACTGTATCAATCCTAGCAATCTTACTTTCATTGCAGGAAAATTATCGACAATGTTCAAAACTTAAATGCTTTAAAGGACTGTAAACTCTACTACTTACAGCTCATTTTGCAATTCTTTTTTCAATTTTACAATTTCCTCATTCTTGTTATTAATTAATTTTTCACATCTGAAAAACATAACAAAGTACATTAGCAGTCCTGATGATAGCCCCTGAGAATTCTGAAGTATTGATTTATATTCACCACACATAACAGTCTTGTGTCTAGGGTGCATCTGGCATGCCACAACTTTGAAAGACATCACACTTGCATCATATATCCATAGGGCAAAGATTACTGTCTAGTTGAAATATATAATTATTCAACAGAGAACTGACTTTTAATTATCACAGAAAATGGTTGTTCTGCCTGCCTTGCTTATGATCTTAGTCAAAACTAATCTCACTATGCTATATACTAATTGTCCCTGATTACACCACTTTTTGATTGAACCATTGGTGATTTATTTCTTTACCTTTTACGAGTTTCTGCATCTTTAGTTCAAGAAGCTCAGAGGCAAATTTCAAAAATGCTTTTACAAAAAAAATTGTCATCTTATTTTTGTTTAAAAGAGATAGACTTTTTAAAACAGAGAAAATGAGCTAAATTTTCATTCTGGGTTGGAACTGCAACTTTGGAAGAATTTTCAGGTTCTGACCACACCTCACAGCGCCAGATACCTAACCAATTTTTGGAGTGTTGCTAATTAGTGGCCAAGTTTTTGTTCACATCCAATTAAGGATTGGAGATGGACCCAATGCAGGATGTCATTAAGAGCCTATTCAACAAAGACGAAGTGACAGCTGTGTGTGTACGCGTGAGAGCGAGACAGACACAGACGCACATGCAGAGGGGGAAAAGGAATGAGAGAGACAGCGTGTGTCAGAAAGAGAGAGAGATTGCATCTCAAAACAGCGACGCCCTCTCAAAGAATATGGAATTTTTGGTACAGCTGCCAGAGTGTCAGGTCTGTGGTTATTTATGTCACAGATGTGTGGGGCAGAGGAGGGCTTCAAAAAACTAACTACAGCACTGTCCTTTTGGTCTTTGACTGGGGAAACTGCCTCCAAACCCTGGCGAGGTTCTGTGCACTGCTTGCTGTTTGAAAAACTACAAATCACAGTTGCAGATGGGTGGCCATTCCCATTCAATTGGGCATATTCTAGAGATGGGAACATGCCAACAAACTGGCATGCTGTTATTGGGTAATTGTGGGGCTACCCATCACTGTTCTGCCTCCTCACATGGTTGAAAATTCTGTGCTGTGTATGAGACAAAAACAGATTACCAATTGTTCACACACTTAGTTTTTTTGCAATTTATAAATGTTAGAACGTATATTAAACTGAAGGATGTAGTGATCCTTTTATCATTATTTAAAGTCATATTTTCAAAGCATGCTGCATTTTTAAATTAGCTGCAATTATCACCCCATTATTTTTTCAGTTGAAACAGCTTTGGCCTTTATTTGTTGATAGTTATATTCTGCAAACATTTGATTAACATCTGGATGGTAGCATGAATTTTTGTATAGAATCCTGCTAGGCTAGTCTCTCTTCCAAGATTTAAGTGAACAGATTTCACAGGTACAATATTATGCTTTATGTCCGAGGAGGTAGGATAGGTATTCCTCTCTTAAAACTTTTCTCCATTCAGGGATTGGTCGATGGGCTTGTCAACAAAACTTTTTCTGCATTTGAAGCAATCATCTACTTCTGAAGCAAGATAATGAATTCATTATTTCCTCTTGTTATTGTGGAAAACAGTATGATAGTTGTGATATTATTAGTACCCTCTTTGTCTCCACTATTGTAAAGAGCTGCGGTTAATCTCTTAAATTTAATACACAAGACTTAAATACAACTCATTCTGAAGTTTTCTCTGTAGAAGAATTAACTGCACCATCATCATAATTCCCCTGCCCCCAACATGTGCATGACAGTTTGATTTTTATTCCAGTATATAGGCTTCTCTGCATTTCTATTTGGTTTGATTAACAATTGAATATACAGCAACTCTACAATCCTTGCTATATGTCTTAATTAAACAAAATATTCAGCTCAGTGCAACCATTTATATTCCACAGATATTGGATCAACACAAGAAAGTAAGTTTTTTAAAAGTAAGCCTGGAATTTAAGGCACATATATAGTGTAGTGGAAAGGAAAGAAACATTGATGAACGAGATCAATTTTGTCATCATCAAGCCTCACATGCAGATCTAAAATTCTTTTTAATCTCTATGTACAGATTATTTAAATACGACAACAATTTCTAGCAACAACAACATCCCCCCAAACCACCCACTGCACACAGAGATCTGGAAGCTACTCATCTTCAAAGGAAAATAGCATCTCAATATTTGTTTCCTTGTTTAAAAGTACTGAACACCATGATTTTGCTGTACATACCTCTCAGGTGCAGACTAAATTCACTAAAATAATTTTCAGCTTCTTCAATCCAGAAAAAGGTAACCTTTAATGTGAATCAGGAGTAGAAGTAGAGCATTCGGCCCCTTGAATCTGCTCCTACATTCAATAAGATCATGGCTGGTCTGTTTTTGAACTTTACATTCCCATCAACCCTGATAACTTTTTATTCCTCGCCTAACAAGAATCAATCTACTTTCAAATCTTCAATAATCCTCCCTCCAGAAGCGTAATGTTCCAAAGCTTCCCAACGCAATGAGAAAAAAAAAAATCACATTTCTATCCCAAAAGGGCAATCCATAACTTTTATACAGCGCTCTCTAGTTCTGGAATCACTCACAAGTGGCACCCTTACCACGAAATACAATAGTGTGGCTAGTCTTAATTATTATCAATCAAATTTCTGGCACCGAAAATTAAGTTTTATAAGGATGGAATCCATTGCTTCAGCTCTTAACTATTGTTATAGATTAAGTTTTTAATTTATAATAAAAAAATTCTTTCTCTAATCTCTCTCTCAATTTAATCTTCCTTTCCCTCTCTTTGCTTCATTTTCTGTACCTGAATTTACATTAAATTGAATCTTAACAGATGTTTCCTAGTTCTTTATAGTTCTTTCTTTCCTAGTTCTGACTGTGTTAATCACTGATGATTTCTTGATGAAATATACAGTTTGGTCTTTGTTCACACAGGTCTCAGATGCCCTGTAGAAAGTGTAGAACACCTTTTGAATGGTTGATGAACAGGAAACTTGTTGTGTGAATGCCCACAAAGTTTATGGCAAGTATAAGTTGAATGAATAACATATAATAATGTCAGACCCAATGCAAAATCAAAGTATTATTTCACACTGGAGACAGAATATGTAACTTTAAATGGGGGGAATTGAACTATATCTGTGCTCCAATTATCTCTATCTTTTAATGCTGCTTCATTTGCAGACCAGATTTAATGTTGAATATTGGCTAATGCAATGTGGCCAATCAGAAGGTATAGAGAGAGAAGTTGCATTCATATAGGGTGTTCTTTGACTTCAGCATGTCAGAGACTGCTTCACAATCAACTAACTTTGAAACATTGTCAACATTGAGAATTTAGTTGGTTTATGTGAAAGCACATCAGTTGTAGCACTTTTCATGGCTTTTTGAGATAATATAGCTTTTAGAAGGGATAAGGGGTTGGTAAAATTTGAGAGAAATCTGAAACTGGTTAAAGAAATTGAATACATGAGGAGTTTGGACACAATAGTTGGCACAGAAAATACTGAATAAAAACTGAAAGAGCTGTGGATGCTATAAATCAGGAACAAAAACAACCGTGTTCTGAGGAAGTGTCACTGGACCCGAAACGTTAACTCTGATTTTTTTTTCTTCACAGATGCTACCAGACCTGTTGAGCTTTTCCAGCAACTTCTGTTTTCCTTAGAAACTATAGAAGACCTGTCTGGGTGGGTAAGAGTTGATGTAGAAATAATTGTTACTCATGAATAGTGAGGAGACAGAAGGCAGAAAGGTAATGGTCGAGTGGGTGGATAAATTTCACTCTGAAATCAATTGGTGGCAAAGCCTAGAAACTCATTCAAAATGCCACTCTGACATTATTTTGGTACTGGGATGGGAGAAATAACACAAAACGTTAAGTTCACTTAGTACGCAGAGATTTACTGTTTGTAAGTTGCACAATGTGAAAGAAAGTCCACGTTTAATTAAGCAACGAAGTGCACAATAAGAGAAGGATATATTCGTTAACTCTGTTCATTCAAATGGGAATAGGTTTATATGTACAAGAACATGGAAGCTCAACCATTGATGTCTGGCTAGGTATCCAAGTTGGACAGGTTAGGCATTGTTCCCACTATCTGCAAGATCAAAACAATCACAATTCAGTTTCAAGTACACAACTCTGGTAGGAAAAAGTCAGTATGAAATAAAGCAAACTTAGATTATAATAAATCGCTGGCAAAGTATTTGATGTATAAGTCAGGTGTTAAAGGCAATCATATCCCATCGACTGCTATAAGTCTGCGTAATGTGTTTCTGTTTGAAAACCAATTCGATTAATGACACGTGAGAGGGCTTTTGATCAATAACTTGTTTGAAAGGAATATAATTGCTGCTATGTTTCTCTACTTTGCATGTTTATTTGTTGCAACCTCCATTTTCCTCATGATGGTGAGACACACTTCTGTCAGGTCAAGACACACCAATATAAAGTGCATCCAAGTCTTATTTAAATAATTCTGAAAAAGGATCTAAACTTAGAGAAAATTTTAATATTTATGAGACTGAATAAAGTATTTTCTTTTGTGTAATTATGAATCGTGCAAATAAATACAATTGACTAATTTTTGCTCAAACTATATGATCTGACAGCATGGCATTTTTAACCTTTTTCTACATAACTTGATATCCTGATAATTATTTTCATAATCTCTACAATAAATGAAGAATTTCATTCAATTTAAAATGCTATGGCACCTTTCAAATTGAGATCTTTTGATTCTAATTTGTTCCTTGACTTTAATTAACTGCATTTGATGAGTTTTCTGTTCCTGGATTATTTTGCAAGATTCCTCCTGGAGTTGAAGCTTGGTACTTAAAATTTCTTGCTGGAGACCCTGGGGGAATGGAGAAAAAAAAATGCAATTTACCCTTTAAACAGGCACATAAATACAACGTGTAACTGAAAGGAGAACAGCCTTGCAGAAACTAGGGATCAGAGAGGCCTCACAGTCTGAACATTTGGTGGGCAAAGCCAAAAAGAGACCTTTTCGTGACAAAGAATAATGAAATTACAGCACTTTCTATGATCTGTAGTGAGTGGAAATGGTCGTAAACCAATTGAATGGTGGAATTATTAGACTTCAAATGGATATAAATAATTAATTTTCCCTTTGTTTAAATTCTACTTCCTTCAAGACTGTAAACAAATGTCATGTCTTTGCTGTTGCGAGATTTGAATATTCTAACTCAATCCTGGCTTGTTTCTCATGCTGTAGCCTCATAAACTCTGCTGTCTGTATCACAAAACAAACCAAGTCCTGTTCACCTATTATACTTGTGCTTACTGACCTATACTGGTTCCTGGATAAGCAGTACCTCCATTTTAAAATCTCATTATTGCTTTCAAATCCCGCTGTGGCCTCATGACTCCTTATCTTATTTATTAGATCCTAATTAGAACTTCTCTCATCCTTCAAAACTTGAGTACAGGTCAAAACAAACTACTCAATCTCTGCCCAGTTTTTGTTCCTTTATTTGAGGAAGAATGTAATTGCATCAGAGACAGTTCAGAGGTTTACGAGATAAATTGAAGAAATGAAAGGTTTGTTTTATGAGGAAAGATTGAGCTTCAGTTTAGAAAAATTAGAGATCTAACTGAGCGATCTAAGATGCTTGAGGGAATTGATAACGGAGATATTGGGCAGATTTTCGTAGAATCCCTACAATATGCAGACCTTTCACCCTAATAAATCCACAGCAACTCTCTGAAAAGCATCCCAAGCAGATTCATCCTCCTGCCCTATCCCTGTATCCCTGCATTTCCAATGGCTAATCCACCTAACCAACACATCCCTGGACACTATGGGCAATTTAACATGGCCAATCTACCTAACCTGCACATCTTTTGACTGTGGGAGGAAACCCACTTAGACACGGGGAGAATGTGCAAACTCCATACAGACAGTCACTCAAGTCTGGAATCGAACCCACATTGTTGGTGCTGACACAGAAGTGCTAACCGCTGAGCCACCATTCTGTCCAGTTGTTTATTTTGCTGAAACCTGAGACCTTGTCGGACACCAAGCTAAATTGTTCTGATACAGCCACAACACTGGCATCTACTAACAATGTGGAAATTTGCCCAGCCATGTCTGTGCACAAAAAGCAGCACAAATCCAACCTAACCAATTGCTACCCTATCAGTCCACTCTAAATCATTAGCAAAGAGATAGAAGGTGTTATTGACAGTGCTTTTAATTAGCACTTGCAAAGAAATAACCTACACAGCAATGTTCAGTTATGGTTTCACGAGGTCCACTCAGCTCCTGACCTCATTACAGTCTTAATCAAATATGAACAAAAGAGCTGAATCTCAGAGTTGATGTGAAAGTGACTTGACATCAAGGCAGCATTCAACTGAGTGTGACATCAGAGAGCCAAGCAAAACTGGAATCGATGGGTATGAAGTGGAAAACTCTCCAGTGGTTCGAATCATGTCTAGCACAAACATGAGTTCCTCAAGATTGTGCCAGAGGATAAACCATTTTCAGCTTCTTCATTAATTACCTTCTTTTCATTGTAAAGTCAGAAGTGGGGATGTTTACTGATGATTCGACAACGTTTAGCAACATTCAAGACCCCTCAGATAATGAAGCAGTCCTGATTCAAATAAGCAACGCCCAGGATTGAACAGATAAGTGGCAAATAACTCCAAGTGCCAGGCAATGACTATCTCCAACAAGACAGACTCTAACCTGATATTTAATGACATTATCATTGCTAAATTCCCTACCATCAACATTCTATGAGTTACCATAGACCAGAAATTGAACTGGACTAGCCAAATGTGAGTAGGCTATATGAGTAGGTCTGAGACTTGAAATTCCATGGTGTAATGCACTTCCTGTCTCTGTAGTGCCTTTCCATGATCAACAAGGCACAAGTCATGAGAATAATGGAATAATCTTCTCTTGCCTGGATGAGTGTAGCTCCATCAAGACTCAAGTAGCTCGACAGCATCCACATCAAAGCTTGACAGGCATCCCATTCACCACCTTCAACATTGACTCCCTCCACTATTGATGCAAAGTGGTAGCAGTAGATACCACCTACAAGATGCACTGCAGTAACAGATCAATGCTCCTTCGACAGCACCTTACAAACACACAATATCTACTACCCAGTAGGACAGGGCAGAAGATGCATGGCAACATCATTAGCTGCAAGTTCCCCTCCAATATCACAGTTTCTTCAGTGTCTCAGGAACTCCCTTCTTAACATTACTGTGGATGATTCTATACCACAAGAACTGCAACAGTTCAAGAAGGCAGCTCATAACTACTTGGACTCAGAAAGGACTGCAAACGCTGGAAGCTAGAGTAAAAAAAAATGTGGACCTGGAAAAGCACAGCAGGTCAGACAGTGTCTGGGAAGCAGGGAAGTCAACATTTCGGGTTGGAACCTGGATGCTGTCTGACTAGCTATGCTTTTCCAGCTCCACATTTTTCAACTCACAACCATGTTCGTCAAGGCAATAGTGATGGGCCATAAATGCTGGCCTAGCCAGGGTGGCCCATTTCCCATGAACAAATTAAAAAAGTGTTCAATCCTTTGTACATTGCACTCTGGCACCATGTTTAACAAAGTCACTAAATTATTACATTGCATATGTTTCAAGGGGCAAGCACACTTTTATTTTCCTGTGCCAGAATCTGTTTCCTTTCTCTTTGTGCATTTGTATGCTCAAGAGTTGCACCGTGTGTTTAAAACATGACATGTCAAAAATACTTCTGTGAAGGTCTAAAAAATTTCAAAAGATTACTTTTCATGACCCCGAATCAGAACAGCATCAAACGGCTAAAAGGGGAGAAGAGAAAAAAACCATTCATCCTTAAATTGCTCTTTAAGGCGATGACCTCATGGAGACTTGGTAGCGATCTGGGATCATAGTAAATGTGAAGTTCATAGCTACAGGATCTCTGCAGGTTAAGGTGATGATCAGATACAAAAGATATTAAACTTAGTCCTATAGCATGTCAATTATCTGACCAATCATATAGCTTACTTTTTAACTTTTAATATTTAACAATAACTGAAATTAGGTTCTGCTAATCCTGCGCAAGATGGTGCACAAAATTATCCTAACAAAAATAATTGAAAAGGAGACCATGAAGCAATTAAAACATATGGTTTAAAACATTTTCATTGTACTTAATTATAGAAAGCTGAAAATTAGTTTTAAAGTACCACTCTGCATGGATATAAAATTCAGATAAATGTCTATGCCATAAAATCCATAGATTCCATATGGCGCTCACTTGAAATAAATTGTTGGATAGATTAATGGGATTAATGGATGTGTAAAACAGCAAAACAAAATTAAATATTGATACTGAGCAGCACTTTGCAGTCTTTGATAATTTTGCTATAATGGCAGATATGTTTTCATTATCAACTTCAGGAAAGCTATTTTGAAAAAGTGCTTTCACTGACTCATTACAATTATTGCAACAGGAAATTGTTGCTGCTTGAACCCATGTTTCAAATTTCCAATGCTTATTAAACATATGTTTCTTCTCATAAAAGCATATTTCTATACAAGATAGTTTAAAATCTGAACTGTTAAGATCGGGACAATCTGTGTGCCTTGGGTGCAATTTCTGGAGTATACCCATCTGACCCTGCAGGAGGCGGCACTGGAAGGTCCAACTGTCAGTGGACCAACTGAGGTTTGAGATAGTCAATTGTTGACAACAGCCAATATGTCAATTTGTATTTCAGTGCAGCTATGAGGAACAGTGAAAGAATAAGTCAGGAGTGTGAGTAAATACTCCCCACCTGCATAGATGAGTGCAGTTCCAACAAAACTCAAGTAGCTTGTCACCATCTAGGACAAAGCAGTGCGCTCATTCGGCACCACATCCACAAACAACACTCAGTAGCAGTAGTGCGTACCATCTACAAGATGCACTGCAGAAATTCACCAAATATCCTTAGATAGCACCTTCCAAATTCAAGACCATTTCCACCTTGAAGGATAAGGGTAGCGGATACATGAGAACACCACCAACTGCAAATTTCTCTCCAAGCCACTCACCATTCTGACTTGCAAATGTACTGCCGTTCCTTCAGTATTGCTGGGTTAAAATCCTGGAATTCCCTCTCTAATGGCAACTATAACACATAGACTGCAGTGGTTCAAGAAGGGAGCTTACCACCAACTCCTCAAGAGCAATTATGGACAGGTAATAAATGCTGGCCTAACTAGTGACGCCTACGTGCCATTTACAAATTAACATAAAAAGCCCATAAACAATATTTGTATTGTGTGGCTGAGCAAGGTTGGAGCTTGCAGAAATGCAGGCAGTACTAGCTTGATGAAGCTAGCTGTTTGTGAAAAGCTGAAATTGTTCCTGTGAGCGTGTGCTCAAGTCCAGTTCCAGAATTTAGGGGAGTACAGATGCAGGAAAGGAGAGTGAACAACGAGAATGTGAGAAGCCATTGAGGCAGTCCATAACTGAAGGGGTTTAAGGGAGTTCTGTGAGCTTTACTGAATCTCATCCACAGTTTTAATGAGATTTGATGATCCAATGACATTAATACCTGGGGGTAGCTGAGAAACATGCAGCATTTGTCTTGGTCACTTTTGCTATTTGCCCTGTTGGGTGTTCAACTGTATTCATCACAGGTTAATTCCCAATGGATATTGGAACAAAAGTTGTGTATATTTTGCATTGTAAAGTTTATCATTGTTTGTTAGAAGCTACGGAATCTTGTGGCTTTGTTCTCTTATTAAGCAACTATGATCCCATGCCTTGTCAGATTGTAACTTAAATTTGGTGACCTAGTCCAGAATCATAACAGTGTGCAAAACAAACTGGTACCTGAGTTTCCCTGCATTACAACAAATGATTCCACTTCAAACGTACATATTAGCTGTAGAATACTTTGGAACATCTTTGGGCTATGAAAGTTGATACATAAATGCACTCATTTTCTTCTTTCATTTATAGAAAGAATAAGGGTCATAAGGTCTATATATAGAAATAATTGGCTTCAGTATATACTTAGGATAAGGCATTTTAATGTAACAATAGGCAGATTTGTTAAGCAGGGTAGGTTTCCTAACTGGCATTGCTGACACCAGTTGTGTTTGTGATACTGACAGCAGATATTTTAAAGAAACAATATTCAAGCTATAAGACTGCCAAGGATGGGATTTGAACTCAAGTTCCCTGAATTATCAGCTAAGTAACATAATCGTGGCGCAACCACTTGGTGAGTTAAAAGCTTGCTTGCCAACAACAGCAGGAAGTCTTCAGCCCATTCTAGCCAGCTGGCCTTATTGATGGTTCGCTTCTCTTATGCAATGTTTGGGAAGAATATGACTGAAACTATGATTCCAAACCTTGATGTTTTTGAGACAGATCAGACTGGAAAGTAAAATTGAAAAGGAAAATTAACTCAGTTTCAAAGAAAATTAAGAATAAAAATTAGATTGAAAGGCAAAATTTCTGGAGAGACTGAAATTGGTTGAAACTTTAAATAAAGACACAAAGAACCAAACCCTGGTAATGATGATCCCAGTGAAGCAGTAAGTGACATAGCCTAGATCTAGAAGCTAGGAGTAAGCAAATATACAGTTGCTCCAGCCATTCCTGTTACTTCATGATAACCTTGATAGATCTAGGTCCTCTGGGTCATTTTAAGCATTGTGGAGGATGTTCTACAGGCTTGCACCGTTTTTGACGAAGATTATATTTCTGGAACTTAGGTTACTTATGCATTCATGATGGCTGGGAAAAGACTAAATCCTAGAAGAAAAATTGAAATTCTTGTGAGGGAGATGGCTTGGATAGACTCTGTGATTGTGACAGAGTACATGTATACTGAATGAACTGTGGAGCCAATTCACAGGATCTCTTTCAGTTGCATCTGCTATTAAGTGAATAATTTACAGCTTATCTTCAATTTCAATTTGCCTGTTAACTCATACCTAACTTAAGTGATTTTGAGTGTTAGAGTATAGAAAGTTATAATAATTAACATTTGCTTAGTTTGACTCTTGGATAATAAAAAATCTTTGTTTTAAACTGTGGAACCCTGTGGCTTCATTCTTTTAGTAAACAACTGAGTTTGGATATTCTCTGTCAAAAAAAGTTATTGGTCCTGACTAAGATCGTAACAAAAAGATGCAAAGTGGTTTTAATTCACTCTTGGGATGTGGGCATCGTTAGCTGGGCCAGTATTTACTGCCCATCCAAATTTCCCTTGAGAAGATGATGGTGAGTTGCATATATGAATTGCTAAAGCTTAAATGGTGTAGATGCATCCACAATTTCATTAGGAAGGGAGCTTCTGGATTCAGTCACACTGAAGGAATTACAATATAGTTTCAAGTCATGATGGTGTGTGGCTTGGACATGAGCCTTCAGGTGGTGGTGTTTCCATGGATCTACTGCTCTTGGCCTCTGAAGTGGTTGCAATTGTGAGTTTAAAGGGTGATCTCTAAAGACCATTGGTGAGTTGCTGTAGTGCATCTTGTAAATAGTACTCACTGCTGCCGTTGAGTATTTGCCATGGAGGGAGTGAATATTGGAAGTAATGCATGGGATGCTGATGAAGCAGATTACTTCGTCTTGAAGATATTTTGAGTTTCTTAAGTGGCAGTGGAGCCATGCTCATCCAGATACGTGGAAAGAAGTTTATCATATCCCTGACCTGTGCCTTGTAGATGGTGGACAGACTCTGGGGAGATGAGAAATGACTTACCTGCCACAGAATTTCCAGTCTCTGATCTCTTGTAGTCACTGTATTTACAAGGCAGTACAGTTCAGTTTCTGCACAATGGTTGTCACCAAGATGTTGACGTTGAGGTATTTAGCGATGGAAATACTGTTGAATGTCAATGACTCTGTCTTGTTAGGAGATGATATTTGCCCAACAGGTTCGTGACACAAATATAAGCTTAACAATTGCTATGAAATCCTCTCTTTTTATTCATTAATGGGATGTGGGTTTCGCTAGCTAGACCAGCACTACTGCCTATCCCTAACTGCCCAGAGAGCAGCTTAGTGAGCCAGCTGGATTTACAACAATCAAAAATGGTTACATGGTCCCTGTTAGACAAGCTTTTAATTTCAGATTCTATTAAATTTAAATTTCACCGCCTGCAACATGGGATTTGGACCCATGTACCCAGAATATTAGTCTGGGGCTCTGGATTACCTAAAGATGAACTGGCATTTAAATCAAGCCTTTACTCACATCTACACATGGTCATTGTTTAATAATACCGGCCAGGACAGGAATTCCTACACCCTGCTTTTCACAGAAAGTATTGTAATTGGTGTATCAGAAATATTTTTGTGTAAATTGGTGTTTAAAGGGAAACAAAACAGGCATATGAGAAGATGGTTACTATAACAGATTAAATGAGAAAAATGGATGAAGACTCAAGTAGAGTCTAAATATCGGATGAATTGGTTGGACCTAATGGCTTGGAGCATATCCAAAATAAGCCAAAATGGGTAAAATACAAGGCCAGTGTCTTACTCCTTTAATGAAGGGGCTGTACTGTAGCTTGCCTTTGTCTATTCATATTTGATTAATGATAGACATTAGGTGTATACCTCACACAGTTTCTCCTTCTCATGGATTTTTTGTTTCCATGCTTTAATTTCTAGATGGCTTTCATTTTCTATTTGTTTGCAGCTGTCACGCAGGTCTTCAAGGGTATGTATTAATCTGTTTCTTTCTTCCTCTATTCTTTTGAAAGTCTCCTATGAAAGAGAAGAACAGAATTTAGTCCAATCAAAGGATGCTTGATTAGATTTAGAAGAACTATTTTGCAATTTTGAGAACTATCAATGAAATGTGTTGTATGAGTTTTGTATAGATCAAGAAGAGACAGGTTTTAAATGCCTATATTTTCTATCACACAATACATTACACTACAAATTGAGGATATGTTCAAACTAAGTTACAAATTATCGGATGTATGTGCACTATTGATTAAGTGTTTTCCACTTCTCACTTAACCAACCCTCATTGCCCCTTGCTGGGGATGGCAAAATATGGGCTCTTTTGTTTTGCACTCACTGTTGAAATCACTGAACTCAGTTTATGGTGGATCCATGGAGGGGGGAGACTGCATACATTCTGCAAATTCAAACTCATTCTGCTGTGGTGAAAATTTGAAAAGTGGGCAACTGTAGTAGGGAAATGGCATTGTGTTTTAAAAAAATCGTATTCAAACTACCTTAAGATCAACGTCATCAGTGTTGACGCAAACATCAACCTTTCCATCCAAAATCTAAAAACAAAAAGCAACAAGTGATGCATCTGCCAATACCTTTCAAACATTTCTCCATTAGTACAGAAGCTGATACAATTTGCTACATAAACCCATTTCATAGTTTCTTCAGCTAATGATTCATCTGAACAATGGAATAAAATTGTGTTATGTAGCATCTAATCACTTTTAGAAACATCACAGAACATTTCATATAAATGATTCACATTGTGTAATTACTTTTGCTACATGGAATACCAGAACTGCTTGTTCTTTGGCATGCTTGAGAGTTTTAACATACGAGTGAACCACTGGAACAGACAGACCTAGAACACTGTTTAATGTCTCACTCAAATGACTGCACCTTTAATAATGCAACATCTCCTCGGTACTCGACTGAAATTCAGCATAAATGGTGAGTTGAGTTCTGGACTAAGACTGAGATTCATAACTTTCTAATTGGAAGAGGTGCTACAATCTAAAATGAACGACAAAACTAAGTGGATATAGAGAGTGAGTGCATCATTTTAGTTACAGGGTAGGCACAGTTTATATGGATAACATGGAAATGAGAGATCTCAATTAGATGCACTGAAAATTTTTCACGCAGACTAGGTACTCAGCAGAAATGATACTTATCTGATCCAATTAAGTGATCTGGGTTGCAAAAATAAATAAGTAGAAAACAAATCTGTCCAATCAGTAGCATGATAATTGAAATGTTCCCTTCATTACAGCTTAAAATACTGGCTGACATGATCAGTGCCAGCACCTCCGGCTGAGAATTACTTGGGTGCCACCTAATGGCAAAGGGTTTTATCTCCAAGAGAAGAAAATCAAATGCGTAACCTCACCTCATGAAGGATTCCTGTTGGTCATTCGCTCAACATCAACAGGAAAGGCAATGGCCAAGTGGTAATGGCAATGGCCTCGTAATTCAGGCACCCAGGTAATATTCTGGGGACCCAGGTTCGCATCCCACCATGGCAGATGGTGGAATTTGAACTCAATACCATTGTTGGGGAAAAACCCATTTGGTTCACTAATCCTTTAGGGAAGGTAACTACCATCCTTACTCAGTCTAGCCTATACATGACTCCAGTTCTGAAGAGGGGTCACTGGACTTCAAATGCTGCACCTGCTGAATTTCTCCAGCTGTTTCAGCTCTTTGTGCTATTTAAGTTTAAAAAAATTTGGAAAATGGACTTCATTTTTGAAAATGTATATTTGGGTTGAGTGCATCACTGCCTATCCCTAAATCCCTTGAAAAGATGATGGTGAATTGCCTTCTTGAACTGCTGCAGTCTATGTGCTGTAGGTGTACCTATAGGGTTGTTTGGGAGGGAGTTTAAGGAATTTGACACTTCAACAATGAAGGACCGCCAATACAGTACCATGTCAGGACATTTGGCTTGGAGGGGAACTTGCTGCTTGATGTTCCCAGATATCTGCATGAACTGGGTGGTCAGAGGTTGTGGATTTAGAAGGTGTAGCATAAGAAGTATGGGGAGTTGCTGCATTGTATTTTGAAGATTAGGCTTGTCCAACAGTTGGCCCTTGGTAAGGAAATGGCCTGCTGAGGGATCCTATTTGGCCCACAAATTGTTGTTTCAAATACAATGTAATTGGATGATCTTGCAAGAAGCTGCTCATTCAATCAGAGGCTGTTTCTCTCCAAGATTGGATGGGAATTGAGCTAGAGGTGAGGATGGGAGTCAGACCCACTCTAATTTTTATTTCCTGGAAATATTTATCATTGAACAGCTTCTTGCTACCCTGATTGGTTGGCCTTAGTCAGGACTCTCTGCTTGGCTAACCACAGGCACACAGTTTGAACCTTAGGCTCTAGTGCACACAATGTTTGAATATTCCTGTAAATAAGATACAATTCTGAAAAGAAATTGCCTTTTACTGAAATGCATTTAAATCTCTCTGGAAAAAAAATTGTCACATTGCTTTCAATGTGAAATGTTTGTCTTTTTTTCTAATATGTTCATGGAATGGGGGAATCACTGGTTAGGCCAGCATTTATTGCTTTTGAAAAGGTGGTGGAGAGCTGCCTTCTCAAATTGCGGCAGTCCTTCGCATCTAGATACATCCACAGTCCTGTTAGGAAGGGAGTTCCAGGACTTTGGCATAGTGACAGTGAAGGAACACTGATACAGTTCCAAGTCAGGATGGTGTGTGACTTGGGACAGTGACTTGAAGGTGGTGGTTATAAACATATGTGTATAGCTTCAGCTGCATACGAACCCACAAGGGTTTACATATTAATCGCAGGTGGCCTTTGCCAGAAATAAGGTGTCCACATAACCCTTCTTGCAGTTAAATCATTGGACTTTAACATGAGAATATACTGTAGTTACTCTTGACGAAGAAATGATGTTTCATATTATATTACTTACCTTTACCTGGCTTATCTCTTCTTCACTTCTACTGTTGATGTCACAGGATTCAGCTGGATAATAAAATGGAAAACCCAGATGAAAATTGTATTCCAACGAGTTAGTTACTATATTCTAGCATCTGGCACTAGATTTAAAATATATTCAGCCCTCACACTAAATTCACTCCTCTCTAATACGCGGGTTGTGTTCTGCAGCGACGGCGGATCAAGAATGAGCTGGTAAGATCAGACCAGTGAGGCAGTGCCGGTAAGATCAGACCAGTGAGGCAGTGCCGGTGAGATCGGACCAGTGAGGCAGTGCCAATGAGATCGGACCAGTGAGGCAGTGCCGATGAGATCGGACCAGTGAGGCAGCCCAGAGCGGGACGTTGGCAGCAGCATGACGAGGGCTGGAAATCCCAGAGTGGGACTCTGGCTGAGGCATGGCAAGGGCTGGAAAGCCCAGAGCGGGACACTGGCAGCGGGCAAGGGCTAGAAAACCCGGAGCGAGATTCAGGCAGAGGCATGGCAAGGGCTGGAAAACCCTGAGTGGGACTGCGGCAGTGGAAAGAAAAGTTGGACTCACTTCAGTTATCTTTCTTTTCCTTATCTTACTCTAAGTTAATGTCAATGGTGTCATGAATGTACAGCGAAGGTACACACTCTTCACTTTATTTTTACATTGAATACATGTGACTATAAATGATTCAATTTAATTCAATTCAAAGGCAGGTAGGATGAAATACTCAAAGACATCTGGAGGAGTCATATCATACTTGAAACATTAACTCTGTTTCTCTCTCCATAGAAGCTGCTCTTCAGCATTTTCTGCATCTGCAGTACTTTGCTCTTGTTAGGAATGAAAACTCCTCAACCTCAATCTGCTTCCCTCTGTGCTACCTCTCCTTCCTTTGCATTTTCTTAAAGAAGCTTTGTCTACTTTCAAAATTTGTGTCATGCATTCAGGGTATCAAGGTTTTTAAATCATCAACAAATAAGAGACAAGACAGGCATTAGGAATTTTACAGTTTTCTTTTGAAAATTTTAATTTTAAAAATGAAGTAAGATTTTTTTACCCATTCTCAGTTTGATGATTTTTCTGAAGTTGATGGAAACCAAAGGCAAAAGCCCATATGAAGGTAAGTAGTAGTCAGAGGCCTTTTGGTCCATTGAGACTGCTTCACCATGCAATAAGATCACGCCTATCTGATTTTGGCATTAACTCCAGCTTCCCATCTGCACCTCACCATAACTCTAGACTCCCTTGTAGATCAAAAATCCAACTCAACCTTGACTATTAATATTTTTAACTTATTCTTTCATGGGATGCGGACAAGACTGACAAAGTTAGCATTTGTTGCCCTTCCATGATTTCACTTCAAACAAGTGGCTTGCTGGTACAATTTCAGAGCACAGTTAAGAGTCCAGATCTGGAGTCACATGTAAAACCACATGAGGATTACAAATTAGATAATGGATGATACCTTTGTAGTTACCACTACAAAGAATAATTTAATATTTCAAATTTATTAACTGTACTCAAATTCCACCAGCTGCTGTGGTAGGATTTGAATCCATGTCCTCAAAGCTGCACCTCTGGTTTACTAGTCCAATGATATCACACTGCTTCATCATCTCCACGGCTTTCAGAGGAAGGGAATTCCAAAGACTGTATTAAATGGGACAGCTTATTTTTAAACAGTGCACCCTAGTTCTAGATTCCCTTTTGGCATCTACTCTGTCAAGCTCCCATTATATGTTTTGATAAGATTAGCTAACTTCTGCTAAAATTCAATGAGCAGTAATCCAACCTACTCAATCTTTCCTCATCAGATAACCTCTTCATTCTAGGAAGCAGTCTGGTGAACCTTTTCTAAATTGGTTCCAATGCAAGTGTGGAAACAATAAAACACTGAACTGAAATTATGATCAATACAACTGACTGAACAATGCTAAAGTATGCTAGGAAATTAAGTATACTTTACATGCTCAGGTTCCATAATTCAAGTCTAGCTCACGACTTTGAGTTAAAATATCAAGTCCCAGGCTAGCTTTTGGTTACAGACTAAGGCTTCAAGTAAAAATTTAATGAAGGCATTGAAAGACAAATTACAATACAATTGTTCAATTTCATTGTATTGAAGGATTGATAAAGTGCTCAAATGTAGAGAACGAACTTCACTATCCAGTGAATCATATAAAATAAGGATCACTACCCTGCGGCAGTGCAATACAAATGGGAAGAGAGAAAGAGATGAGAGAGAGAAATATAGGAACATCATTTGAACAAAGCAACTATCTTGTTAATTAAAATGGTCTAGATAAATCATTAGTCCGAAAATTAGGAAAATCAGTTGTTTAAAAATGCAATTATCTCACCCAGGGTCAATTAGTGCTGTAACTTTACCCACTGGTCATCTACGTATTTTGTAGCTTGGAAATGTGCACATGAACAACATGTCATTTTCAGCATGCAATCTAAATGGATTTAGATTAGTAAACCGTAGTCAAAGAATTCAGTGAATTGTAATAGGAATTTGAATTCAACCCTGCAATGCTAAGGTCAAGAACTAAACACAGCGGCATTGTTTTTCCAACTAAACTCTAGTTGGTTACAAGAAATTTACTTTACTTTAAGCATTAAGCTTTGAGATTAAGAATCTTTGCTGTAAACATTCTTGGCCAGATTTTACTGTGGCAAGATAATTGCCCTTGAACATTTTGGTTTATTTTGGGTGAGGCAAGTTGCTGAAAATTTGAGCTGATACCAATGCAGTGATGGAAACACGACATACTGAATCTAAGTGAACAGAGCAAAACAGAAACTCAGTGAACACTAACCAATCAGGTGGAAGGACTGTGAAATTAATTTAATGGGTGCTTGACAGTGATTAGTATTAATATGGTGATCATGGTGAGTTAGATTAGAATGCATAAGATAACTTTCTGGGATGAGTTAAGTTCATGTCTACTGCACACATGTATCAATTTGAATCCATTACATACATTTGAACAGTGATGTAGACAGCAAGATGTAATTTTCAAGTCTACGCTGGAGTTTTTTATTTGGTAGAGCAACCCTTCGGATTTTTGCGCTTAATGGCTTACCTGGCTGGTAGCTGCCATAGCATTTTAACCTAAATAACAGCAAATGCCATTAACCTCTCATTACATTAACAGGAAAATTTAGGCCATTGGCTGATATCGCATAACAACTAATAGAATACTAGACAGTTAACAAATTTGTTGTGAAATATGACTGTGTAAATTTTGCTTGATCTTTATGCTCTTGAAATTAAGCTACTGAGCTAAAAATTTGAAAATATTGGAAAACAGAAACATGTTTTGAATGATTTTTGGGAGCATGATGGTCAGATTGTGCAAATGCGAGGTGAATTCGCTTAGAAATGCACAGATTAAGCACACATTAGAACCTATAATAATTAAAGTTGACACATGGAATGGATTTTCCCAATCTTGTGATGGCAAGTTTGCAGATGTGATGCTCAAAGGAAAACAGGAGGCAGGTGCATTGGATAGCTTACTAACACATTCCTCCTGCCAGGATGGACAGGGGGTAAAATGGCCAGGTAATTTTGTTGAATTGGGTCTGAACTTAAAGATCTGCTGGCATTTTGCCACCTCTGAATCAGCTCTCCTCAGCAGACAGAGGCCACAGTTTCGTGGCACATATGAAATAGAATTAAGAGTACATCATTTATCCCTTAGAGCCCACTCCATCATTCAATGAGATCATGCCTGTTCTTCAACACCATTTTCCTGAACTCCCTCAGATTGCCTTAATGGATTAATATGTAGAAATCTAATAATCCAAGTTTTGATTATACTGAATACCAGAGGCTCTCATGCAGAGAATTCTGCATGAAAAGGGCATTAGCTGGAAAATTCACATTTCCAGCTCAAACAATGATCCAGAGAATTACAGAATCATAGAATCCCTACAATGTGGAAACAGGCCCTTCGGCTCAACAAGACAACACTGACCCTCAGAGCATCCCACCCAGATCCATCCCCCTATAATCCACCTAAACTACACATCCCGGAACACTACAGACAATTTAGCATGGCCATTCCAGCTAGTCTGCACATCTTTGGACTGTGGGAGGAAACCAGAGCACCCGGAGGAAACCCACGCAGTCACGGGGAGAATGTACAAACTCCACACAGACAGTCGCCCAAGGGTGGAAATGAACCCGGGTTCCTGGCGTTGAGGCAGCAGCGCTAACCACTGAGCCACCGTGCTGCCCCAAAATTTTCTAACAATTTCAAGGGGCTAACTGCTACACCCTAATCATTTCAACTTCAGACATACTCCTCTGCAGGTACCTCCTGTTGAGGCACCCCTACAGTCTGAGAACTACCCTAATAATGCCCACACTTCTCTTACTGGGGCTACCAATGTTCATAGAATTCCTACAGAGCTGAAAGAGCCTGCACTGACTCTCTGAAGAACATCTCACCCAGACCCAGCCCCCAACCCTATGCCTGTAACACCGCTTTTACCATGGCTAATCCATCTAGCCTGAACATCCCTGGACATTATGGGGCCATTCAGCAGGGCCGATGCACCTAACCTGCAAATCTTTGGACTGTGGAAGGAAACTGAAACACACGCAGACAAGGGGACAACATGCAAACTCCACACAGACAGCCACTCATGGTTGGAATCGAACCCGGGTCCCTAACACTGTGAGGCAGCAGTGCTAACCACGTGCCACTGTGTCACCCAGAGCTTCTGACCTGCTGATTAGGCTTGCAGCACTAAGGGCTCACCCTACTTCCTGAACAGGAGGTCAAATATGGAGATGGCTGATTAGGAGACTGTGTCCTAGAAGACTGTATAAGTTGGCAGTAAGTGTAGATGGCCACCATTTTGTCCTCACAAGGACTTCTGAAGGCTATTGGAAAATCCAAATGTACAAAAAAAGTCACATAACCAGGAAGTCCACACAAATTTGTTCACAATCACAAATTTCTTCAAATAATTTTATTACTTATTTTTTTGTAACACTTAATCATAGTAAAACATAATTCACATCTGGGTGGATTAG